ATGGTAATAGTGGATTTTTAATGGGAAGCAATTATAGAGGGTGTAACATAGCCAAACATTTTAGATTTATTTTATCACTTCAATGGAGATAAGCTGTATTATCACAGTTAAGTAGCCATGACAGCCGTGCATAGCTCAGGCGGTTAGTCGCCGGTTTTCTAAGGCGGCGGCCCGGTTTCGTTCCCAGATCAGGGCATATGGGATTCGTTGAACAAAGTGGCATTGGGGCAGGTTTTCTCCTAGTTATTTAGCTTCCCCTCCCAATTCTCATTCCACTAATTGCTCCACATTCATTATTATCTAACATTCGGTACTAGCACAATAGGCCAAATAGTGGTCGGTGTAGCACATAGGCTCAAGCCTCCCAGCACCAGGGAATGTATTAATTAAGAAGCGAGGATAAGGCTTAAATCCGCATTCCTGAGCCCTCTAGAGGTAGCTGATCCCTTCCTTCCTTCGGGGGCGTCCAGGAGACCTTCAGCCCAGTGGTTTTACTTTAGTGCCTGTGTTGGTATTATAACTTATTCATGTTCATAAATTTAAAAAAAAAACAAAAAGTAAAGGTACCCCTGTAACAGGCCGTGGAGGCCCATAGGGTTGTGAGATGTTGAGGTTCCCACATTTTCTAGACAATCAGCTCTTAGACGGTGGCAAGGTTGTCAGCCTTACGCGCCGGCCACCCTTGACCCCCAAGAATATTCCTGGTACTTATTTATGGCCTCCCAGAATATTGATCTTTCCTCCTGGGACATACTGTATGCGTGTGTATGTTTTTTATTACCTCTAACAACAGTATCTTCTAATCTGAGATAGAAACATATCAAGATTCAATGAACGTTCTTTTCTATCTACCAATGGCTCTACAACCCTTCTGGTCCTTGGCCGCTTTTTCAGTTTCTTAATCAACACATAGTCTGTAGGATTCCTTGGACGGTGGATTAGCCCGTCGCAAAGCCGCTACGTACACGTAGAACAATACAAACACAAAATAAAAGCACACAAGCATTCATGTCTCCAGTGGTATTCGAACCCACGATCCCGGTTTTCGAGCTGGCGAAGATGGTTCATGCCTAAGACCGCGCGGCCACTGTGACCGATATATGTTCCCTTAGAACTATAGATTCTCCGGATGAAAACAAAGATCCCACATAACTGATGGAGGATACTAAGGTCCCGTTTATCGGCTGGCTCAGCGGTAACCCGTCGCAAGCATTTTCGGCATATGTCCATCTGTACTCTCGATCAGGACTGGAAAAATATGGTAGAATAAGTTATGACATAGTGCATTCCCTTATTCTAGAATAATCGCTGAAAATCAGCTACGCATGCCACTCCATCATTAAAACGTTTATTGAAAACCCATTTCGTGCTCACTGCAGATGTAGAGGCGTCTTCCGGGTCGAGCTGGAGGAGGCAACGAGTTCCTCTGAAATGTTTATCATTTTTACCGCGGTTCGATAACAAGAACAGTGGCACATAACATACAGTGGCTAAGAAGCAGTGTTCCTGAGGACCGGTATTGCAGGGTCTGAACTCTGAACATCTTCAACATGAGGCTACTAAGCTAAGCATTACACTAGTCTACTATGAAATAAGTGCTGGACTCGATCTCACTCGCAGCCACTAATTTTGGAACAATAAAGAAAATTATACGTCAATCTATCAATAACCAGTCACCTGAACACGAGAACAGAACAGTCTCGAATCAAGGTACCTCCTGTAGTGGGTGACATGAATATATCACTCGTATCAGTTATTAGCCACAGTCATAACAATCATCAACGTTATTTTGGGGAACTTACGGGGAAGGAGCGGGGAGGAAAATCATCTAACTTACCCCTAATTTTCCCTTCATTTAAAACACTAAACACTTCACGGAACATAGGTGATAGACGGTACCACCCTAATTAACGCAGGCATAAAAACATTAAGACTGTTGATGGGTTTTGAATTTCCACTCTGGAAGGAATAAGGTGCTGTTAAAGTGATGTTCAAATTGCACCAGGTGAATGCAGCATGGTAAGGCACTAGAAGTGCACTGAAAAACTAAAGTAATGGAAGAAATAACTGAAATGACAGAAACTTTTCTTAAAAAAGATAGTAATGAATTTTGTGCTGGGACCGATCTTTATAACTTGTACCATTTTTTTTGGAAATTGCTGTTTCAGTAGCAATTAAAAGTGTCTTCCTTATTTAATGTGAAATAAGCTGTAATATACTCTTGATAATAACTTCCACACAACCTATCATTTTTTTTTTTTGATACAGTAACTCCATCTGCGGTAACTATACAGAGCAGAGGCCTTCTTGAGAAACTGACAGTCAGCTCTGCTGATCGAGAAATTCTCTTGCCTCTTATGACACTTGGAAAGTCGTTATTATGATCCCAGCGGCCCATTACTGAACCCTACATGTAGAAAAGAAATCCAACCCATATCCTCAAATCTTATTTTCTTACGATCCCATCTTTAGCAATTTGAAGTTCATAGGACAAAAAATGTACAGCTGGACCTGTGCACAAATCCATGAAGACGTGTGGGGATTGGAGTATTGCTCCACCATTCTTGAACTCAACACAAGATGGAGGTGTTAGCTTCACATTCAGGCCGCTTTACTCCCGGGGGAAAACCCGATATCCATTGGCTATGAGGCTCGGTGGGATCAAGGGGTGGTTTTAACATTGTGGGGAAGAGAAAAATCACTTGCCTCTGCAGGGAACCGAACGCTGGCCGTCCAGTCCGTAGCCCATCACTATAGTGATCGAGCTATCCCGACTCATATATATTTTCGATCGGACTTACATTTAGAGACTTTACATACAACATGAAAATAATGAAATAATCATGATGTAGATAATTAATGCCGAGGTGAAGAATACGTGGATCTATACATTCACTCCCACATACGTCTTTATGGCATAGTGCTTAACTAGATACGGAAGGCGATAAATTTACCTTTATGATGATGAGACTGACAATGATGATGAAACTGAAGCCAGGAACTCTCTCGAATTAACTTCCTCCCCCGCGACACGCTCTTCCGTAATTGTTACGAAATATTAACGAAATCGAAAAAAAAAAATACTTCTGCCGTTATGTGTGATGAAGCTTTCTACGGCAGCGTAGCTTGAAATGTGGTACCGGCGCCCCTAGGAGGGCCAAAGCAGCCTGTCAGGGGTACCACATTTGTCAGCTGTGCGAGTTATTAACCTACTTTCCTAAAGTAGGTTTCTCCATCTCCCTGCCATCAATTTTAGAATGCCTGCACCAATCTTTTTGAAACTTGGTATGTATATCACGGCACCTGAGCCGGTCTTAACCGAGTACTTCATAAATCCCTCCCCCAGTCTATATGTCTCTATATGTGCCCTTCCTACTGTTGGAAGGTAACGGCTTCGTTAAAGGTGTGCTGCTATTCGGTGTTAGGCAACGGCTCGGTAAACACTTTTCTCCGGAAAAGAATGCATGCTATAAAAGAGAACTATTGGACGAGATGGCTTCTATGCGGCCGTTGTCTTAAAAAAGGAGAGACTTTGGGTGTGAGTATCGCGCTAACATTGCTAGGTAAAAATTCGTCAAAATCGTTCCCCCGTTAACGAGGAATTTTTGCAGGCGTCATTTTCTATGGAGTCCGTGTCATATCGAAGGAAAGCTGTCAATTATCTCTTCCTAGAACTTCTTGTTCGCCTGTTTTCCTAAAGTAGGTTTATGTGATCTGCATCCTGTGTCTGTGTTTCTATTCGGAATCGACTCAGAATGGGCTTCTACACGTGGCAGTTATTAAATTGGTCATTGTACATCCGTATTATGGAGGATTAAAATATTATGTTCCATATTTTCAAAGTTTGTTTTAAGAGCAGACTTATGTTAACTCTTTCAGGATATCTCAAGCACAAAACATTTTAAAACAGTTGCTCTACACCATTTCGTGTATAAGATTTTATAAAAACTATGATTTGAAATATAGCTTCTCTTCGTGTATCAGTCCTTATGACAAATATTGCATTATAACAGATCAGGTTAGATCACGAAGTAACGCATCTGACGTGTGTCCGGGAAACACTGAGACCCAATCGCTTCCGAGACACCTGTGTTTTATTTTCCTGTCTCGCCGGGTGAATGCTTAGATAATGTCTTGTAACAAATCACAATGGTTCCAGTACAATTTTTCTCAGATCCAACATATACAATCAATAGGTTCTAGCTCTTCACATTACATTACTTCTGCAGCTGAAACCTTACCATGCTGTGAACAATACATCTCATTAAGCAAAATCTGCGTATTCTTACTTGAATATTCTCTGTATATGAGAATATTCGTACAAATGAAAAATTTTAATGTCATGCTTTGGCATTTAAATCCAACATCACATGGTATGGTCTTTCAAAGGTAGAAATATGAACAGTAAATGCTAATTAGTATTTTGTTTCTTAGTTATAATACCGTGTGTGCTGTGGGCTGCAATGTCGACGTTTCGGAAATATTTACTATCAAGAAGTCTCCTCTTGACTTGTGCTATAAGGCAGGTAGTTGCCACTGTGTGTTCACTTCGCCTTGAAAATGTACATGGTAGAAATCTCCGAAATTAGGCTATATGACCTGCACTTAGGGCCCAAGAGAAGTCAGATAGGACTCTCAGCCAACTTCGAAAGCCGTATAAATATATTTAATAAACACTTCAAATATAATTTTTGTATCATTTATTAAAAAAAACTTTAAATTATGTAATAGAAATGGTTTATGGAATGCCCATATTCTTGCTGACTTATTATAAATTTTTATATTAAATAAGAGTATATTTGGGAGCCCCCATAGGCTAGGGGCCTGAGCCAAAGAGCCCTTCTTCTACTCCCCTATATGGGCCTGCCTATACGAATTTATACCCCCCAAAAGCAGAATTCATATTAGCTTCAAAATCTCCTTATCGATATTTCTATTAACAATAACACGTAAAATCAATGCATGAAGGTATGCAATACAAAATATCATTTTCTTCTTACCTTATCTACAAAGCGTCAACGAATGAATTAAACAGAAGGAAACAGTAAAAAGCGACGAAAGAAGACTTGTAGGAGGCGCTGCCAGTGAACATGACTGACGATAAAAAACTGTCACAACTGCAGCTTCCCCTTGTTGACATTTCTGTCGCTTTCTGTCATGAACTGCATATCGCCAAATTGGTACAGTACTGAGCCAGACAGAGAGGTGCAGTTCAAGTACCTATAGTCCAAGCAGTAGACTGAGAAGTCTGTCGACGCCGGCGTCCTGCCTTCCTCTTCACATCCCTCTCAGTCACTCACGCGTACGTCACGTTAGCCTGTGTAGTCTGTCCTATTTTCGAAGTGTTAGATGCGCCCAGTCTCGCGCGGTACAACAAGTTGTGATCCGGACGGAGTTCGTCCCCGAATCGAACTGAGCTCAGGAAACCTCCAGGCTCGTTTAGGCGCCGGCGTCGGTCTGGTACGGGTTTTGATTCAGAGAGGGGGATGCTGGGGGTGTATCTTATACTAGTCACCACAATAACATTTCTCCAAAATGATTCTTTGTTCTGAGCAAAAAATCTCCATGTAAGAGAAACCTTGAAAAGCTCATAATAGCTCAGGTGGTAAAGAAATTCCACATTTTCATAAAATCTGTAAAGTTCATTACCGTGTCGTATTCACAAGAGCCTTCCAATGAACCCTATCTTTAGTCAGATGAATTTAGTCCACAGCCTCACATTCTCACTCTTTAAGACCTAAGTTTTACTTTTACCCTTCCATCTGTACCTATAACTTACTCTGTAGTGCCATGGTGGTAAATAATATAACATTAGTTAACGATAATGTATAAGGTATTTTCATAAGCCTCTCGTTATATATATGCGCAATATGAGTATAGCTTACGGGCTATTTCAGTGATTTTATTTTAACAACAGAAATATGATTCATCTACGGTGCAACATTAATAAACGTGGATACAAATATTCGTTGCGTCTTTTATAACAAAAAGAAAAAGCATTTTAAAATTATGTTTGCATTTATTTCAAGAAACACCCGGGCAAACAATTGGTATTTTCTTTTATTAAAATTTATGTATGATATTTCGGTGAACATCTTGCATCTTACTCAGGCAGCTGACCCCTTCTTGAGGAGCGGCCAATTCTGCAGCTACTCAAGAATTTCCCAGCATGTTACGGAACCCGAAGGTTCATTACCGTCTTCACAAGAGCCATCCACTGGCCCCTATCCTGAGCCAGATCAATCCAATCCACACCATCCCATCCTACCTCTCTAAGATCCATTCTAATATTGTCTACTCACCTACGCCTTGGTCTTCCCAGTGGTCTCTTTCCTTCTGGCTTTCCCACCAATACCCTATACGCATTCCTCGTCTCCCCATTCGTGCTACATACCCTGCCCACCTCATCCTCCTTGACTTGATCATTCTAATTATACTTGGAGAAGAGTACAAGTTATGAGGCTCCTCATTATGCAGTTTTCTCCAACCTCTTGTCACTTCATCTCTCCTCGGTCCACATATTCTCCCCAACACCCTGTTCTCAAACACTCTTAGTCTATGTTCCTCCCTTAATGTCAGAGACCAAGTTTCACACCCATACAGAACCACAGGCAAAATTATAGTTTTGTATATTTTAGTTCTTATGTTTTTAGACAGCAAACGAGAAGACAAAAGGTTCTGGACTGAATGGCAGCAGGCATAACCCGAGTTCAACCTCCTCTTAAATTCCTCCAGAATCAGGTTTCGATCTGTTATCGTCGTTCTCAAATATCTGAACTGTGCTACAATTTCAAAACATCTGTTTCCTATCTTTATGTCATGATTTTGCCCTGCATTTTGGTGTCGAGAGAGCAACATATACTTAGTTTTCTCTGTGTTTACTTCTAGACCAACCTCCTTACTAGTGTCAATTAAAGTTTGTGTTTTTTTTCTTTATGGTATCTACATTATCACCCAGCAGATTCACTTAATCGACATAGACCAACAGCTGATGTGTCCCATTTAATTTCAGTCCCACCTGGTTTTCCTGGACCTTCCTAATGGCATATTCTAAAGCAAAGTTGGAAAGAGTGGCTACAAAGCATTTCCTTGTTATAAACCATTCTGGATAGGAAATTTGCGAGACAAATATTTACCTACACGGACTTTACTATACGTTTCGTTTAAACATATTTTAATCAACCTAACTAGTTTCATGGGTATCCCAGACTCTATCAGAATATTGTACAATACTTCCCTCCTAACTGAATCGTAGGCTTTCTTGAAGTCTACAAATAGCTGATGTACTGTCTCATTGTACTCCCATTTTTCTCCAATATCTGACGAATGCAAAAGATCTGATCTGTAGACATCTTGCATCATCCTTCAGTATGACTTGCGAGTCGTCCAAAGATGATTGCAGTAATTCAGCATTCAAACAAAATAATTTACAATCCTGCGTTTACAGATAGCAGACATAATACAACAATGGGCTTACGAATAGAAAAACAGGCTGCCGCAATAAAACATCTGAAATAAAGGATCCAGATCAAAACAGGTGGACGACGCCCCCTTGTGAGGTGTAATAATAAGAATTTTATAAAATTTTAAAGGAAATTTTAATAGAAAATTTTAATAGATTTTATTTGATTTAAATTAAGTGAACTAGAGCATGTAGTTCACTTAAGTTAAATTAAGTGAAGTGAACTACAGCATGTGCTATTTTAGCGCATACCAGTTGACTAAGCGTATGGCGTTTTAAGTCACGAAGCGAGCAGTCGCATATGTGACGATTGGACAATATTAGGGCAGTGTAGCAGTTTCAGCATAGTAAGACAAATGAAGATGACCATTTAGGGCCGAAATCTGTTGTGCCGAAAGAGAAAGTGTAAGAAAGAAGGAACAATCTGTTGTATTGCTGACGGACTGTATAGTACAATAAACAGTATTTAATGCGATTTATTTTGTTTATTTATGGGGTATATCAAACTGCTTCAGTAACTAATTATATAACGTCGAATGTGTGCATGATAAATGAATGATGAATTTGAAACGAACTGGAATAAAGTGGTCGTTACCTAACCGAAATACTAAAGCGACATTTGTATGGAGGGACTCAGGAAACCCATAACAAAACTCACTCACAATAGCAGATGTCGTGGATGATATTTTAATCTATAAAATACCTATCCAGTGCCCCTCTTGTTCCTTATGCCAATCACACATTCAGATCTGTCATTTGTTCTTACATTCATTATAAAATGTGGTTGAGAAATGTGAGAGGAATGAGTTAAGAAGTTAGAGCGCCCCATTGCATTGATTCTAGGACGGGGAACTTCAAGCAAGAATGTACAATTAAAAATATAATTTTCTTGTTTCGATGAATAAATTTAAAATTCTCATTCAATTCCTTACTCTATGGTTGGGATGCGCCGGTCATATATGCCGCGCGGTCTAAGGCATGAACTGTCTTCCCTCGGACACTGCGATCGTGGGTTCGAATCCCACTCAAGACATGTGGTGTGTGTATGCATTAATTCTGTGTTCGTGTTGTCCTTTGTTTACGTAGCCGCCTTGCGACGGGCTGATCACTCGTCCAAGCAGTTCTAGGGTCTGTGAAAAATGATTAGAACACTGACCAAGAGGCCAGGGCCCTGTATGGGCTGGAGGAGTAAAAAAAAGAAAGGGTTGGGATGCGTTGGTCGGCTATCTACAGTCTGAGCTGCTGACATTTCCGTCAAATAGGCTACTAACAAGTAGCAACGGCTGTGATACAAGATATGGTATTGCACAGTGGAGACTCCTGGTGGTGGTGCCTTGCGACACGATCTTTCGCTCGATCTCCTGATAGTCTGCCTGGCTCTGCAGGTGCAAAATCGCTGTTCTTTCACATTGGAATTCTGCTTCACTGCTGAAATAGGTGTGTAAATTTGACATGCAATTTACATTATCAGGTTGCTTTAAAGATAAGATTTGAAAGAGTGAGAAATAACTGTAAAACATTGCCTGTTACCCAAGCATTACTCAGTGTTTTTCAAAAACTACTCTTGAACCACTGCAAAAACGAACCTAATAATTACTCACTGAAAGTCCAGTGATTGAGGCTAGCTCTTTCTAACGGACCCAACAGAATAGGTGCTTTCCTTCACCTGAGGACGGAAACAGATCCAGTTTCCGAAACGTCGTGTTTTTATTAGTTATCTTAAAAACCAGGACGATGGATGAAGTCCAAAAACCCAATATATCAGTGTGTTATACACCATCGTCAGAATCCTATAGTAACTACTAATAATTACTAACCGCAACGTATTTTAATATAGCTTTTATCTTATTATTTATGACGCACTTCTCATAATTATGTTTATAATATTCTGGATAATGTTTGCCTGACGGTGTGAGTAAATTATATGAACAGGCTCACCGCACTTTGCCACAGAATCAAATTTAAACTAAAGTGAGAACTTGAACAATATGAATTTATTCTATTTCATTAATCAATTTAAGTAGGTATACTGTTTTGGTAAAATGGGCGATTGAAAATTTTAAGTAACTCTATTTTATTAACAGGTTTTATTAATTAAATACGTTAATAATTATAATAATTTATGACGACAGTAACGCAACTGTTCTAACAACGCGCCTGTGTTAATAATCATTTATAATTGCCAGAATTTAAAATGCAAATATTAATATACATATTATTCTTATTATTTTATTTTATTATTATATTATATTATATTTTATTATTATTATTAATTATTTTGTATGGTTACGAAACCAGATTCCTCTTCCTAACGGGAGAATACAGGCCGTGTGTTTGAGAACAGGATACTGAAAGAAAATATTTTTACCTACAAAAGAAGTAACATCAAAGGAGTTCTGTCTCCTGGAATATACCGTCATGTAGTCCGTTGAAAGTTAACTGACGGTTCGGAGGGCCATGTCGCCTCCATCTTCAGAGCGAATATTAAGCCATGTAAGAAATCAGCGTTAATTATGTGGCTCTGGAAGCGACTTGTTGCTCCGAAACGTCGGTGGACTTTCAACGAACTACATGGCGTTATATCCAAGTAGACAAAAACCTTAATAACAATCGCTGTGAGAGGACTGAGAAAACTGCTTAACCAAGAGCTTCATAATTTGTATTTGTGCCACAGAATTTGAAGTCGCATAATCAAAAACAAAGGGCTGGAAGGGCACGGAGAACGCACGAGGATGTAATAAATGTCTACAGAATCTTAGTTTGATAAACCAAAGTGAAGATATCATTAGGAATACCTAGGCTCAGGCGTTGATGGGAAGATAATATTGAAATATAAGAATCTTAACGGAAAAATTTGAGGTTCTGTCCTCCATGCAACTGGCACAGGGCGTGGTCCAGTGAAGGTTTCTTATCAATACGATAAAGCATTTTGAAATTCCTTAAAACCTAAGGGGTTTATTTAC